TATAAACAAAAGTAATAATTTTTGGATTATAAATGAATTTACGTTTAGTTGAGCCGTCATTATAGAGAGATATTCCTATTTTATACAAATACTGACCGACAAAATCAATGCATTTGTCGGTCCATTGAATTCTCAATACAATTTGTGTGTCTTTTCTCTCCATTTTCACAAATCTGATGTTTTCAAAAATATTTTTCAAATGCATTATCTACAGGTACTCAATATCTTAAACGATCATTTATTATATTTATGCCAAAGTATTATCGATTTTGAGTCTAATGTTTTATTATAGCAATTATTCAAAAATAAATGGTATTTCAGTAAAACTAATATTTTAAATAAATTATAAAATAATGACATAAATAACATTGATAAGGTATATTTATATTATACATTTTTTAAATGTGCAATTTTAATACACTATTATATTAATGACATATAAAGATAAACCATATAATTAGTTCCCATATAAAATAAATTGCACCAATTTTACTGTAAATGCTGTTATCAATGAAATAAGCTAGAAATAACAATTATGTATTATATATTATTCACAAACAAAAAGGAAATACCTGATAAAAAACTTGTTGATTAATTAAAAATAGTTTCCAACAATAATACCCGACACGTTTCGATGAACATGTTTCAAGTAATATCATTATCTAGATAAATATTTAAATAAATTAATTAGTTATATAATTTAACATTTACTTTACGTATTCATTTAATATTAAATATTAAAACTATTTGACAGAATAAGTTAGACAACAGAGGTTTTATTCTTTAGTACATATATAGTATATAAGTTATCTATAAAGGCCTTATATATTATATACCTTAATTCTATGTAAAGAATTTGAATTTTTAAATTTTTTATAATAAAAGTTATTTATTAAATCAAACGTCTTATTGGATTCTTTATGTAAGAGAATTGCAGAGATATTAATAAAAATGCAATACATAACCAGTAGTGGGATAATAAACACCATAAATATAAGCATAAATATTTGAAATTCACCAAAAAACACCTGGGTGATAAAGGGTGCCGACACACATAATAAACATGACCACTGTATGGCTAACCATATTGACCAAAATCTATTACTTTCATTGATATCAGAGTAAATATGAAATGTTTTTGAAATACATTTTACTTTTACTAATGTTTATGCAATTAATTTGTTGGACAATATAATTATTAAATTGAAGCAATAGTTTAAATCTATAGGCAGTTAAACAAAAAAAGCAAATATGCCAAATAAAACAGGGAATCCCATACAGTGTCACTAAACAAAACAAAATGCTCCAGGGTATACCATACATTATTGAATCGAGTAAAGAATAGCTCATAGATAAGGTTAGAAATGATAATAAAAAGCAGCATGGTGGTACAATTCGCTCAAATAAAGTAATTAATAATCTAAAAAATAATTTTGTTTTATTACTTATTAAGTGATGACCTGGTGCTTTATTAAATTCAATAGGATGTTTATTGTTTAAGTAAAATGCAAAATGTAATGCCTGTACGGCACTGGTAGTTATCATCGCTATAATAGTCATTGAATTCCATATGAACTTCAATTTCCAATTGTGTGACACATCGCCTAATAATAGACTCAATTGTCTGTCATTTGACAAAAGAGATACCAATTCTCGTGATATAAACACCGCATAAATAATTACAATAAGAATTGGATTATAAATAAGTGTACGTTTATGTGAGCCATTAGTATGCAGTGATAATCCAATTCTGTGCAAATGCTGACCAATAAATTCAATGCAACTTTCGGTCCATTTTATACGATTTAGTATTTTATTCATATTTGAACTGATTTTAAATTTCAATTTTCCTTTATGAAAGTTACTTTAAATATGATATTAACCGATATATAAATAAGATTAAATCTAAAGACACACAAACTCATTTGAGTGCAATACTGTATTATTTTTATTTTGAAAACGTTTGTATTTTGAATGTAATTCACTTTAGTTCATAATGCATTTTTCAATTAATATTAAAGCTAATTTGCATTAAAATTCATTATGAACTATTATTATAATTATTATTCAACTATTATTACAATAATTATTACATTGGAAATTATTACAGTGGAAATTTTTACAATAATTATAACAATAATATATTGTATTACAAATTAAATGAATTATTTTCAAATGTACTGAAGAAACTGATATTTTTTATTGTCTATGAACTATCATAATATTATGGTCTATCATGGACTCTGTCATATGAACAAAATAAAGTACATATGTATGCTTAGTATTGTTTCCATAATTAATATTTCAAAATCATCATATAATATTTGAACATTAATTTCTAAATTTCAAACAACCTTATTGAATTACGTTAATATCCTTTGATACCGTTTGAAAATTTTAAATATAATATTTTATAATACGAAATTAGGACTCATAATATAAAAATTAATATAAACATTTTAAAAGCATTTTTAAACATTTAAAACTAAATAACTTCAATAATATAACTTAATTAGCATAACTAACAGTAATTATTATTTTATTAAATCACTTCCGTAAAGTGTTATTTGAATCAATTTTAAAGTAAATGCCGTTAATATCGTCAATAGCTGTAATAAAATAATTTCAATTAAAAACAAGTTCAATGTATAAGTTGTTCAAAATCAAGATAATAATGCGACAATAAAATATTGACCTCATAAAAGACTTTCTCATTGATTATAAATAGATTCAAACAGTAATAACCCACACGTTTTGATGAACTTATTTCCAATAATGTCATCAACTTTAGAAATAAATAATCAAATTTAATCGAGATTATAAATTGTAGCCTATTTAAAAATTATAATTACCGGTAACTAAATAATTAAATAATTATAATTTATAGGTTTATCCGATACTTACCTTGACATTCAAATACAAAAGAACTGAATATTTATTGCATTTCAGATAAAATGTATTCAATGAGTGAAACGTTTTATTAGATTCCTTATGAACAAGAATCGCGAATATATTTATGAATATGCAATACATAACCAGAAGTATGAATATGAATGACGTTAATAAAAGCATAAGTCCATGAATTTCTCCAAAAAATAAATTTGTGGCGAAAGGTGCGGTCGCTCCTAAAATTAATAACCATTGCAATGCCAACCATTTTGACCAAAATTTATTACTCAAATGAATTTCGGAGTTAATTTTGAACATTTTTCTTTTAATTTTCATAAACTTTTGTTTTAACATTTGTTTGTTAGAAACCGTTGGATTGAGCATGGTTAGTTTATGATTTTCCAGTTTTATCATTAACCTAAATTTATATGAAGTTAAACAAAAGTAGCAAATATGCCAAATGAAACTTTGTGGACCATAGGTGCAAGTAATTTCAAATAAAATGCTCCAGGGAATTCCATAAAATAATATTTCATACAATGTATAGCTTAACGATAGGGTTAATAGTGATAATGTAAAGCAGCAAGCTGGGAATATTTTCACTGTTATTATATCCAATGTCGCAAACAATAATTCAGACTTTTTTCCCAAATTCTTATTTTTCATTTCAATTATTGGTTTTAATGGGAATTCATTATTCAAATAATAAGCCAAATGTAGGTTCTGAACGGAAACTGTAGTAACCATGGCCATACTAGTTACTAAATTCCATATGAACTTCAATTTCCAATTGTGTGACACATCGCCTAATAATAGACTCAATTGTCTGTCATTTAAGACAAGAGATACCAATTGTTGTGATATAAAGATCATACAAATAATTGTAATAAGAATTGGATTATAAATGAATTTACGTCTATTTGAGCCATTATTATACAGAGATACACCAAATTTATATATATGCTGATCCATAAAACTAATACATTTATCAGTCCATTCAATTCTGTTACATATATTTTTCATATTTGAATCCATGGTGATTGTGGTAGATTTGAAAGTTAATTTAACCTAAAACTTTTTATTTATTATTTAAACTCAATTTAAACTACAGTAATATAGATATAAATACGAAATTTAAATAGTTTATTATTATTATGCAATATGAAAAATCAATATTTAAATAATAAATCAAATTAATTGCTATTAGATAGAAGTATGTGAGACTTCAAATGATATTATTGTTTATTGTTTAAAAAAACATTTCTAGAAATTCAAAAAAAAACAATAATTATTCATTTATTGATTATTCAAAATGTTTTAAATTTGTGTTTAAACTTAATTCTTCTATTATTTATATAACTCATACAGAAATACAGAATACTTTTATTATCACAAACATTATAATGAACATTTTAGTTTTCAATAAAATAACCATATTTCAAAAATAGTTTACCCTGTTTGACGCCCTATAGTGCGCGCACTATCTGAGAAAAAAAGTGATTTTTTCAGGAAAAATAGAGGGGCGCACTATACGCAGGGTGCGCATTATCTGAGAAAATTACAGTATATAATTTTTTAAATTATCAATTATAATTTTAAATTAAGTGCAAATCAATTACAAATCAAAGCCTTCAAAATCTTAAAAACTAAATTAATTCAATCACTAATAACATAAACACAGTTACACTTATCATTAATAATATTATATTGGTAGAAATATTAGTTCACTACAACAAATAAATGTAATTTAACTTCACATCAAAAGTATTTTATAATTAAACTCTTAATTTAAACTATTAAACAAAAGTGCTTTTCAGTTGACTAATATAAATGTGGAAAATATCACTAAATCAATATTGTATGAAATTTAAAATTTTTTTAATTTCCTTATCTTATCTACACCTTGTGTTAAGCTTATTCCTAGATATCTCAGATGATTAGTTGTCCTAAAATCACTTAAATTCCATTCATATATGTCTGGGTATATATTTATGTTATAATATGGGCGCACTATACGTAGGGTGCGCACTATCTGAGTAAGAAACATACATTTTTGTAAAAAATGAAAGCGCACTATACGGTGGGGGCGCACTATAGGGCGTCAAACAGGGTACTTTAAATGGATTAGCGTTTAAACACCCCTTTGACGGAAGCCTTAGCAATAAAATTCTTATAAATTCTTTGCTCCAATGAGTCGAAAGTAGGTGTTTGTGTGACTGCAGTGATATGAGCAAGGGCAAACTTGAAACACAAATCCTCCAGTTCAGTCACTTTTTTGTGAATGGCCGCCGAATATATTAGGGCCACGTTCTCAATGGTAATGCCTTTCCTCAAAAGTCGGACACATTTTATCTTAAGGTCAGTCTCGCAGTACTTTTCGGCCAAATCTAATAACTCGATCCCAGACTCCGGTTCCACATATACCTCACCCGTGTATAGGTATCGCAGGAATGCCTCGTAAACCACATACGAGTATTCGTTCATCTATTCAATGATAGAAATGTTTGTTTTGTTTTACTAGTTATTTCAAATCTGACCTCCAGTTCCTTTTCAGCACCCTTGTCCATGTCAGCAAAAATAGTCCGCAAGTGTTCGCATCTCATTATAAGATAGTCTTCGTGTACATGAATAGGCTTTCTCTCCACTATGAACTTAAATGTGCTTGTTAACCTATCGTTAAAGCACTTGCACAAACTATGGAGCACCGGGCTATCCGGGTGTTCACTCATTACGATTGGATAGTCGGTCACTCGAGGTGTTGCAAACATAGCAAACATATGATGCAAAGAGTCAACTTTGACCTCTATGAACAATTAAGCTAAATTATGGAAATTATATTGATATTATTATAAATTAAATTAGTCATGCTTAACCTGTAGGGTTAACAAGGTCTCCATAGGGGCTCTGACACTGACCCCACACATAATGCTTTCCTTTTACGGTGACTGCCGTTGATATACGCGTGTAATGAATGGACGCGATGTCTATAAATCGGCCCAATTTAGCATCTAGTTTATTTGGAGTGGTTTGTGCGGTTACATTCCCAGTGCCCAATTCACCATTACTATTATTTCCAATTGCGTATAAATGTCCCTCGTCAGTTAGGACAAGGGTATGGGCATAGCCGCAGACCACCTTGCTAACTGTCATCTCATCAAAGTAGGCCATTTGATTGGGGAGCGGTTGGTTAGCCTGTGTATTTGCCAGACCTAACTGGCCACAAGAATTGTTACCCCTATAATATAATACAAGCCTATTTATACAGTGACTACTTGCTGGACACTAATTCATACCAATTAAATAATTGTCCTGTATTAGTTAAGGTAACTGAAAAATTAAATCCACAGATAATTGTCGTCATGTGACGGGTATCAAGACTGCCGCCTACTTTATAGGGTGTCGACTGGTTATTGACGGTTCCGTTTCCTATTTCACCCGAACTGTTGAGACCCCAGGCGTAGACGTGTCCGCCATCTGTAAGGGCCAGGCTATGGTTGCCACCACACGCTATGTCCACAATCTTTTCATTTGTTAAATTAAAATTTAATAGCAATGGTATGGCCGAGGCTGTAGTATCACCCGTTCCCAACTGTCGTACATTAAAGTTTAAATTAGTAAGCCATAATTTAGGCTACGTATTATAAATAAATTCACCTGGTACGATTCATTTTCTCCCCAAACATAGACTTCACCGTTCGATGTGAGGGCGCAGACATGCTTAGCGCCTGTACTTATCTTTTTGACTCCTTTTTTGCTCAACATATCTATTTTGTTCATTTGATTGACATTAGCAGTGGTGGTGTGGAAGACCTCATCATCTTTAGTAATGACAATGATATCGGTTCCGGTGTTTCCATAGATCACAAACGAGTGGATTTTTGCCACAAACTCCTCATCCATAAGACTAAAGACAACCCATTTGTCGGTCGACCCTATCTTGAGACGGGTGTCCAACGACAGCAAGTCTTCACCACTTCTATCATTTGCAGACATTTTAATGACTAATTTGATAAGTTATAAAATAAATTAAAACTAGTGTTTATAAATTGTTAAATCATAATACAAATTAGTAACATGTATTTTACTTACAAAAATAAATCACATAAATTCTAAATAATTATGATAACCGTTAGCGTTTGTATTTCAGTTAGATATTACATTAATTAATAAAGTCTTTGTCTTATATGCATTGTATTTGATTATAATTCTTTGCAATAAATTGAAATTACAGTCCAAAGTCTGAATATTTGAGATAATCAGGAACACCTATTTTCTTATTTATTGATAACTTTATACTGGATATCAAAATTGTTTGTGATACTCTTTTATTATACTTTATATCTTACAAAATATTATTACAATTATAATAAAATATTACTGTAGTTAGGTATCATGTATACATATAAATATTTAATAAAAGTATATTATGTAATACAAAAATAAGTTATTAAAATGATCAAAACTTGGTCACATAATCGGCATCATTATGTTGAACACACATCTTATCTCTATTAGCCTTATAAAGAGTCCTCTGTTTCTGAATCCTGTATTTATAACGAACACAATCAGCACAACATATGGTCAGCAAAATGGCTATAAGGGAGCCGAACACTGACAGCAATATAATCTTCCATTCCGTCCAAAATGGGCCGCAATTGTCGGCCGACTCTAAGTAATCCCTACAATAACTACTAATAAACAAATTGGCGACACCTGTCCCCACATTCAGATCATACGGAAAACTTCGCACATATTTAGCATCCAGACCTTTGGTATCACAGTAATCGGGGGCAGACATTACGGTGGATATAAGACATGACTTCCACTGCCATAGGGCGCAGCACTCGGTCTTTTTGGGGGACAGACTGTTGTAGAGATACCGGCCCTCTGTGTCCATTTGCATGACCCGGGAGTCAAATGTTTTTGTACACAAATTGAGTTCAGCGGATATATTCTGTAGACATGTTTGCGACAAATGTTTGCCAACCTCTCGGAAATCGTACGGCAATTCTGGACCAGAATTCTCGGTCAGAATCCAATGAAATTGTGCCAAAACTAGAAATAATAGCTTTACAATCATAATAAATATGTGGTTTTGTCAAAATATAAACACATTTAGTTTGTATCTACTAATATCCATATAATTATTACACATTTCTATTGTAAGCAAATTACTCATAAGGAGTGTATGTTTTTTATAATCAAAATTTATCGATAAATTCCATAGAAATAGGAAATAATTGATAAAAATAGCACTAATTTATAGTTCGCTAATATAATATATTTTTTCAATGCTATTCATAGACTTTATAAAAAAATATAATAACAGAGACAAAATACAAATCAATATATTTCATACAATTTAGTAAATACCTGTTTGTGAGAGTATATGTGAATCACTTTAGTTACCTATTGTTTATACATATTACTGAAAATACAATACATTTACACCGCAAATGACATATTTATTTCATCATTTCAAGGATAGCATACAATTCAATCAATTTTAATAAAACAGTTTATTTATCTGTTTTTACGTCTACTGTTTTTATATTTTAATATAACTATACATTTATTATGTGATTAATAAAATAATTATGTGATTTAATTTCACAAGTTAGTTATTATGAAACTAAAAATATTAAATAATTACGGTAGTATAATAGCATACAAATTGGTTTTTATTATTAACATAAATTCTAAGATTATAATAATATACTTATAATTAAATAAATTAATTGATATTTAATTTAGCATTCAAAAATTCATAGAAAAAAGAAAATTCATTAGTTTTCAGTTTATTCACTGTTAGCTCAAAATCATTGTAATCGATGACAACTTGTCTATCAATAGACCACTCGTTATATTCGGTCAACACTTCTCTACATTCGGGTCTTTGACTCCAATTAGGGGTTGACATCA